AGCAGCAGCAGCAGTAGTAGTAGTAGTAGTAGTGGTAGTGGTAGTGGTAGTGGTAGTGATAGTCGTAGTGGTATCAGTTCTAGTAGGAGCAGCAGGAGAATCAGGAGGAGGAGGAGGAAGAGCAGGAGGAGCAGGAGGAGGAGGAGGAAAAACGGGAGGTTCAGGAGGAGAAGGAGGCGGGCGAGTAGAAAGGCCAGAGTGCTCCTGGATGCCGTTCGGAGTCTCTTCGGATTGTTTTTTGGAGCTTCTTAGGGTCCTCTTGGCCCTTGGGGCGTCTTGGGGGTATCTTGGCAGTCCCGGGGGCCTCTTGCAGCGTCTTGTGTGCCTCTGGCGGGCCTCCTGGAGCCTCTTGGGGGTCTCTTGGAGGCCTCTTGATGGCATCTTCGGGTCATCGTGGGAGCCTCACGGGGCCTCCTGCGAACCTTTTGCGGCCCCCTGGGGGCCTCGGCGGGCCTTCTAGGAAACAGACAATCAAAATAAGGTTTTTTGACTTCGGTCCCCCCGCTCCAGGAGGCCGAACTGTGGCCAAAACTTTGATGCATTCAGAGATGGTGGCCTTCTCGCCGAGGCCTCTTGGGGCGACTTGGGCGCCCCGGGGGGGCCTCTTCGCGTTTCTTGGGGGCTTCTTAGGGGCTTCTTGGGGGCTCTTGGGGGCCTCCTGAGCCCCCCTTGGGGTAACCTGGGCACCACTTGGGCACCTCTTGGAGCGCTCTTGGGAGACTCGGGGGGCATCCTGCCTCCATTTTGGAGCAGACCGACTGTGGCCAAAACCTTTTTGTTAAAGCAGGGGGTGTAGCTTTTTCGCCGAGGCCTCTTGGGGTGCGTCTTTGGGTGCCTCCGGGGGGCCTCTTAGGGTCTCTTGGGGGTCTTTCGGGAGCCTCTCAGGCGCATCTTGGGAGCCTCTTTTGGGCCTCTTGAGGTCTCCTTGGCACTTCTTGGGGCCCTGTTGGGGCCATATAGGCTTCCCCGCCGAGGCCATGCTAGACGCTCCAACGACCCAACGAACCACCCTCCAGGTCCGGGGGAGGGGGTCCGGGGGTGGGCGGTGGCGGGGTGTATCCCTCCCCGAAGGTTTAGAAGGGTGTTGTAAGAGGCAGCGCTCTAAACCACTCGCTCTAAACCACCCACGCCCAGAGGGCTCGTGTTCCTTCCTGAGAAGCTTTCCAGTATCTGCACTCGGATTTGCCAATCGCTTCTTTACTCAGTCCACTCTCATGGGAAGCGCAGCGACATTACGCTACTGAGGAACCCCACATACTTATTACGTCTGGAGTCATGATAGCTGAAGTGAAATATCGAGAATGATGCCGGTGGCCGTTGCCCCGCCGATACCATTGGTGACGCCAGTAAATCCTTGGGAGCCTGAGTGCCCTGAAGGCGCCGAGAAACTGCCACCCCTTCCACACTTTCCGAGCCTGGGCCGTATAGAGAACGCGCTCAGGGACCACCACCTGCGCACTCCCTTTGGTGTCGAACAATTGCCACGCCTGCCACTCGTTCCGAGCCTGGACCGTATAGAGGCCGCGCTCAGGGACCACTCCTTGTGCACCCCCTATGGTGTCGAGAAGCTGCCACCCTTGCCACATTTTCCGAGCCTGGACCGTACAGAGACCGCGCTCAGGGACCACCCCTTGCGCGCCCCCTCTGGTGTCAAGAAACTGCCGTCCTGCCACATTTTCTGAGCCTGGACCGTATACAGACCGCGCTCGGAGACCATCCCCTGCGTACCTCTCGTGGTGTCCAGAAAGTGCCACGCCTGCAACACTTTCCGAGCCTGGACTGTATACAGACCGCGCTCAGAGACCACCCCCTTCGCACCCCCTATGGTGTCGATACCCCCCAGGTGTCAAGAAATTTCCACCCCTGCCACATTTCCAGAGCCTGGACTGTATAGAGACTGCGCTCAGAGACCACCTTCTGCCCTCCCCGTCTGGTGTCAAGAAAGTGCCACGCCTGACACGCTTTCCGAGCCTGGACCGAGTAGAGACCGCGCTCAGAGACCTCCCCCTGCATATCCCGTCTGGTGTCAAGCAAGTGCCACGCCTGCCACATCTTTCCGAGCCTGGACCGTATATAGAGACTGCGCTCAGAGGCTCAGAGACAACCCCCTGCGCATCCCGTCTGGTGTCAAGAAAGTGCCACCACTGTCACATTTTCCGAGCCTGGACCATATGGAGACCGCGCTCAGAGACCACCCCCTGCGCACTCCCTTTGGCGTCAAGAAAGTGCCATGCCTGCCACACTTTCCGAGCCTGGACCGTATTGAGACCGCGCTCAGAGACCACCCTTTGCGCGCCCCCTCTGGTGTCAAGAAACTGCCGTCCTGCCACATTTTCTGAGCCTGGACCGTATACAGACCGCGCTCGGAGACCATCCCTGCGTACCTCTCGTGGTGTCCAGAAAGTGCCACGCCTGCAACACTTTCCGAGCCTGGACTGTATACAGACCGCGCTCAGAGACCACCCCCTTCGCACCCCCTATGGTGTCGATACCCCCCAGGTGTCAAGAAATTTCCACCCCTGCCACATTTCCAGAGCCTGGACTGTATAGAGACTGCGCTCAGAGACCACCTTCTGCCCTCCCCGTCTGGTGTCAAGAAAGTGCCACGCCTGACACGCTTTCCGAGCCTGGACCGAGTAGAGACCGCGCTCAGAGACCTCCCCCTGCATATCCCGTCTGGTGTCAAGCAAGTGCCACGCCTGCCACATCTTTCCGAGCCTGGACCGTATATAGAGACTGCGCTCAGAGGCTCAGAGACAACCCCCTGCGCATCCCGTCTGGTGTCAAGAAAGTGCCACCACTGTCACATTTTCCGAGCCTGGACCATATGGAGACCGCGCTCAGAGACCACCCCCTGCGCACTCCCTTTGGCGTCAAGAAAGTGCCATGCCTGCCACACTTTCCGAGCCTGGACCGTATTGAGACCGCGCTCAGAGACCACCCCTTGCGCGCCCCCTCTGGTGTCAAGAAACTGCCGTCCTGCCACATTTTCTGAGCCTGGACCGTATACAGACCGCGCTCGGAGACCATCCCCTGCGTACCTCTCGTGGTGTCCAGAAAGTGCCACGCCTGCAACACTTTCCGAGCCTGGACTGTATACAGACCGCGCTCAGAGACCACCCCCTTCGCACCCCCTATGGTGTCGATACCCCCCCAGGTGTCAAGAAATTTCCACCCCTGCCACATTTCCAGAGCCTGGACTGTATAGAGACTGCGCTCAGAGACCACCTTCTGCCCTCCCCGTCTGGCGTCAAGAAAGTGCCATGCCTGCCACACTTTCCGAGCCTGGACCATATGGAGACCGCGCTCAGAGACCACCCCCTGCGCACTCCCTTTGGCGTCAAGAAAGTGCCATGCCTGCCACACTTTCCGAGCTTGGACCGTATTGAGACCGCGCTCAGAGACCACTCCTTTCGCACCCCCTGTGGTGTCGAGAAAGTGCCAGTCCTGCCACATTTTCCGAGCCTGGACCGTGAGGGAGGTGAGGTGTGTGTGTGTGTGTGTGTGTGTTTGTGTGTGGGAGCGTCGCGGGCGGGACGCGGGAGGGAAGAATTCCGGAACCCCACCAAACATCCATGGATGTCTTGGGAGTTAGGTACTATCCGAAAGGAAAGGGATTTTGAGACGACCTTTCCGCCGCCTGCGTTGAGACCGACCGGCCCCATTACACGCGTCGCTCGAACGCTAGAACGAGTCCCACTTCCGCCGGACTTGATCGACTTCTGACCAACCGCCCGATACCCGTAGTGATTTTCCTGGGACTGGTCTCCGCCTCCGATAGACATACAGTATATGAGATTTGCGTACTCCTCTGGATCATGTCCCCGTTCGTCTCGTCCTACGTCCGCTTCATTCGCTGCGTGATGGCATATGCGACAGTGATGGCGGCAGTGCTGCTCTTGTTCCTTCAGTTCGAGGATTGAGATGGGAGCATCCACAGTATCGTGCAAGCTTCGGCTCGCTGATAGAAGCGACCAAAATCAGCCTCCACCCGCCTTCTGCTGTCCAGTATGTGAAAGCCTTCATGTTTGCTGCCGTCAGAAAAGTCAAGTGCTTTCTAGAAAGGGGTCAACACACAACCCCTCCAAAGCCGCCCAATGTTTGAAACTCCTGCGGGCTCGCCTGCCGGGGCGTCGGCGTCTTTCCCAAAGGCCTTGTCATGAATTTCTGAATTTGTGGAGGTTTACGGCGGTCAGGAGATGATTTAGGAGTATATGCGAGACGTAAGTTGTTGGATAACCGCGGGAGGTCTTTAGTTATTGCCCCCCCATGTTTCTTTCGGTGGGGAATGAAGTCGCCCCTCCCCGTCCTGTGAGTTATACGTGAATGATCTATGCGCGCTCGTAATTCGTTTTTCGGCTCAGACGCATGAGGCCAGAGGTTGGCATCGGTCTCTTCGCAGTCGGACTTGCGACGGAGCTCGCTTCGCTAGCTTCACTTTCCGCACGACACCAGTGCCCAGACTGTTTCTGTGATTGCCCTCGGCCTTCGGAGTGTCCGAAGGCTCCTGACTGTGTGTGTCCGCCGCCGTTGGAACGTCCTCCCGTGTGTGAGGTGCCGCCTGGTTTCTTCAACAGGACGGGCTTCGTTGCGCCCACGGACGACACCGTCTCCCTTGCCAACATCGGCCTCTTGGGAGTGCTTCTCGGAGCAGCGGTCGGAGGTCTGCTCACTCGGTTTTGTTGTCCTCGTCGTGTTGCTGCCCCTCGTCAAGGAGGGTACGGTCGCATTGAACAGTGATGGCGGGGGCCGTGGAGGCTCTGCCAGGTGGCTATGCAATCTACTGGTACGAAGGGGACGATTATGGTCATGAACGGATTTTGTTGAGGGAAGTTAAGTCACTGGATGACAGACGTATCTGGGTTGGGGCCTCGCCTGACTTCGATGTCTACGCGGAGGAGTGGGACACCACGGGAGATCGCGGGCCCATCAGAGTGGAGCTGTTGAAGGGTCGCACTGCGCCAAGGAGTTTCCCGAGGCCCATCTATCGCTTCGATCAGGAGGTTCCCTGGGACAAGTTCACGGAGCTTCGGGCCGGGGCGTCGCAGATCATCGTCGACGAAGGGCTCGAGGAGATCGCTCACGCGAGAGTGCAAGATGACGCGTTCGCGATCAGGAACTTCCGTCGGCCCCTCCTTGGATCACGAGGACCTGCTCCTCCTCTGCCGCCGCATGCAGATGGGCAGGCTGACCCTGCTGATGCTCTTGGGAGTGACGGGGTCTGGGTCGTGTCGGAGCCCGTCTTCGACGGGTGCCAGGAGGCGGCGAGGATCGGCGCTCAGGTCGCCAAGGAGTCCGTGGCGAGCAGGCTGGGGAACCGCGGGTTCGCCAAGTTTGGCTCGGTCGTCGCGGCGCTCGAGCGGATCAAGGTGGAGGAGCTCGACGGCTACTTCGCGGGCCGCAAGAACCTGCTCCTGGTGGGCCTGGGAGGCGCTCACACGCCCGAGGAGCGAGAGGGAACCCTTGGCTCGCCCACAGGCCTCCAGGCCCTTCGTGGGGCTCTTGCAGGCCCACAGCTCCCTGGAACGGGTGAGGGGCCTGACAAGAAGACGGACGAGGACGTTCGCACGCTGTCGGTGAAGTTCAACGCCTTCAACCGCAGGGAGCGCGTCTGGGTGGACTCGGTCAAGGAGATGGTCGAGGACGCCTTCTCGGACTGGCCTTTGGATGGTCCTCGCGCGTTCTTGTGGTTGATGATGTCTTTTGCTCAGCTCGCGATGGTGCCCGCGTTCTGGCTGGAGCGCCACCTCCAGACGGCGGGTTGGAGCGAGAACGATCGCTCTATTCATGAGATGCGGGTGATGGCGGAGGTTTTCGAGCTGGCTATCTCTTACGATCAGCTTAATGTGGCTTCGCTCGCGGCCTTCGAGAGGTCGGGGCGGAGATGGCAAGCTATACTTGAGGCTCATGGTAAGAACCCCGTGAACCCGAACTACGAGATTGCTGATAAGTTCTCGGGCTACAATCGCCGCGCTCAGCTTGCGGCGCCGGCGCTTCGCACCTACGTGGCCAAGGAGGTGCGAGAGGAGGCGGAGATCGACAAGCAGACTACCACGGCCAAGGCTCTGAGGGACGAGGCCAAGGTCGCCCTCGAGCGCGGGAAATCCGCTGGGAAGGGCAAGGACAAGGGGGATAGCAAGGATGAGTGAGGCCTCCTTCCTTGCCAGCAAGACCATTGATAGTGCGCGCCGCAGTCGCCGCGCGGCATGCACGCTGACAGGCGAGAGTGATGCGCAGGAGGCACGACAGGTGCCGCTGTTTCCGCTCGAGTTTTGTGACCGCTCAGCTCCTCCGTCGACGCGTCTCTCGAGAAGGTGCAGACGGAGAGCGAGCCTCAGGAGCCATCAGTCACGGGAGTTCGCGGAGGTTCTGACGGGCCTCAATTGGCTATATTCCCGAGCTGCGAGCCCTCTCGTTCGCCAAGGAGTGGTGGGCGAGATTCATGATTTTGTCGCGGGACGAGTTGCCCAACAGCCGCCTGTGCCGCTTTTTTTGGATAAGGAGGGAGCCGTGCGCGAGCTCCTCCAGAGCAAGTGTGGTTATGACCACGCAGCTTCCACGGTCGTCGAGTTCGATCGAGCCCTTGTCTCTCTGCCCGATGGAGTCCAGGACAGGAGGTTACTTCAGGACTTGGGTTCTCGGGAGGACAGGGAGGCGGTGGTGAATTTAGGGAGAGCATGATGAGAGATGTGAAGGAAGTGATGCAAATGAGAGACTACGGCGAGTCTATTAACCCGTATTTTGACCAGAAGCTTCGCACTCGACGGCACGAGCACGTACGCTTTCTGAAGATGTTGCACAGGCGTGGTCTCATCAGGTGGTCGACTACGCCCAAAGAGATTGCGACCCCGTTCTTTGTCCGAAAAAAGGATGGAAGACAGCGGCTTATCATTGATGCAAGACGTGCTAATCAGTTTTTCCGAGATCCTCCTAGTACTCTACTGGCCACGCCCGAGAGTTTCGCTCGCCTGGAAGTTGAGGGAGGTGTTGAGCTTTTTGAGGCGTCTCTTGACGTGGACAATTGCTTTCGCAGAATCGGTATAGACAGCGAATTGGGCGATTATTTCTGCTTGCCCCCCGTCCGCGCACGAGAGCTAGGTCTGGCGCGTGTTCGGGGGCGGGGGGTTCCTGGAGACGGGCTTGCGTGGGCCGCCATGGCTGTGCTCCCCATGGGCTTCTCTTGGTCGGTCTTCTGGGCCCAGCGTATCAATGCTCGCCTGGTTCGGGAGGCTTCAGGAATGGAAGGCTCTGTGGCGGTGGAGGACAGGGGGGGCGGGCTCATCGTAAGTGAGGACTCCGCGCCCGTCTCTTACGTGCATGTGGACAACGTGGGGGTCTTGGGGGCAGACAATATTGAGGTCCAGAAGTCGCTTGATAACATCAAAAACGTTCTTAACTCCAACAAAATGCAGTGTCACGAAGTCCAGGAGGCAGGCCAAGTTCGGGACGCTCTTGGGATCGAGTTCAACGGCGAACTAAAGTGTTTCAGGCCCGCTGGGAAGCGATACTGGAAGATTCGTTGGTCTCTGGAGGCTTTCTTGAAGGCGCCCAAGGTAATGGGAAAAGCCCTCGAGGTTCTTCTGGGCCGCTGCACCTGCCTCGCTATGCTCCAGCGCCCTCTTCTCTCCTGCTTCGCCTCGGTCTACAAGTCCGCTCGGCGGCGCCGTCACTCGTGGGCTCCATTGTGGCCAACAGCACGTGAGGAGCTCGAGGCTTTCTTCTGCCTCATGCCCCTTATTCGCTCAGACTGGTCCCGCGGTTGGCTTGGATAAGTGTTGACGTATGACTCCTGCCCTGAGGGCGCTGGAGCTTGCGTTGCTACTGGGTCTCCTGCCTGGGCGGCCGCTCAAGGGAGAGTCCAGGAGAGAGCCAGATTTGTTCGCCGGGATGCTGCGCAGGCTCGCGGGCATGCGCTTTCTTGCCTCGACCCTGATGACCCCCTGGTGTTTGTGACGCCGCCGCCGTCGTTTGAGGACGTGTCGGAGCTTTGGGGGCAAGATTTGTTGTTTCCTGAGGTTCCGCTCGAGGGGCTTGTGGGAAAGGACTGGGAAGTGCTATTCTGCCATTCTTGGAGAAGAAAGATGACTGTGCATGAGGGGGAAGCCAGAGCTGGAGTCCTTGGGATCGCAAATGTGGTTCTGGAACCTGGGGTACATAGCTGTCGTCTGCTGGCCCTTGGGGACAACCTCGGTGTCACGCTCAGCTTTGCAAGATCCAGGGCCCGCGCCTTTCCTCTGCTGATGCAGGTACGACGGGCGGCGGCGCTGGCGCTGTCGCGAAACCTCTCAGTGGGGTTCAGGTGGATCCCGAGTGAGTTCAACAACTCCGACCAACCTTCCAGGGGCCACAGGCTTCAGCGGGGGAACACGGTCGAGTTGAGCGTCACTCCTGGTATACGCCGTCTCGCTCGAGAACGGCAAAGCTCTGTAGCCGTTTTGGCCAAGCATGAAGACCCGCCATGCTCTGCTTCTTTACATGATTGGGCTCTACATGTCCTTGGTGAGGAAGGCCAAGAGAGCAGCTCCGACGGAGGAGAGGGAAGTTCGCGTGCTTCTTCGTCGTACGGACCCGCTGCCTCTAGAGAAGAGGTGGCCGGCTACTTTACAGCAGCGACGCGATCGCCTCCCCTTGCCCGTGCTGTTGGAGGAAGCGGAGAGGGATGCCAACCGTCTGGAAGCTTCGGACGGCACGACCTCGGAGGAGGACGGCAACCCGCTTGTGCAGGATCGCGTGCTGAGGCGGAAGATCCACCATGCGAAAATGGCAGAAGAGCCAGGTATGCAGCACGTTTCGGTGCTAGAACGAAGCTCGGTAGGAGAACGAACCTGGGCGCAATATCGAAAGCTATATCGAGGCCTGGTGGACTACGTCGACGAATGCAAGCTGAACGCCGACAAAGCGCAGGACTTCGACGTGGCCATTGTCTCCTTCATGACCCACGTGTACATGCTGGGCTACGACGCGGGCATCGGTCAGAAGTTGATCGCAGCCGTGGTGTTCTTTCAACCTCGCTTCGGCAAGCTAGGCGACCTTTCTCATCCGCGAGCCTGGCGGGCTGCCAGGGGCTGGGCCAAATTGGGCCCGCCACGCAGTCGGCAGCCCTTGACCCTGCCGACGGTTGCAGGGTTGGCCGCGTTGCTGGCCTACGAAGGTCACCTGGACATGGCCATCTGGACGACCATCGCTTTCTGCACCTACCTGCGTCCAGGCTCTATGATGCAGCTCACCAGGGGCTCGCTGGTCCCACCTACCATGAAGGTCGACACCATGTGGCGTGTGCTGGCGCACAGGTCAGACCTCCACCAGGTCTCGAAGGTGGGGACTCAGGACGACACCATCTTGTGGGACACTCAGGGTTTTGAATGGATGGGCAAAGTTCTTCAGATTCTAGCCGTCGGTAAACGTAATGAGTGCTTGTGGCATTTTACCTATCCAGAGTTAGTGCGTGAAATTCGTAAGCAAGGCCGACGGCTCGGCCAAGACATTGTACCCTACCAGTTGCGCCATGCGGGCGCCTCCTTGGATATATATAAAAAGCATCGCAACCTGTGCGAAGTGCAACGTCGTGGTGGTTGGATGTCTACCAAAAGTGTGCAGCGCTATGAGAAGTCAGGCATGGTGATGAAAGACTACGCCCTGCTTCCCCTGGCGCTGCGCTGCTGGCTCGAGGAGCAGGTACACGCGCTCAAGGACTCGATCCTCAGAGGCCAAGCGGTGCATCCGCCGCCGCCGCTTGTTTTCAGTGCCCGTGGCAAGCGTGTAGCTACTCCTCCCAACACAGCATAGTAGGTGACACATCATGTTATGGGTGATATGGGTGAGTGTGCGCCGCCGTGCCTCTGCTCTCCCACGCTCGTGTGCAGTCAGACTCCAGACGGCGCTGGCATCAGACACTAGGAAACTGAGAAACAGAGCGCGGGGGGATCATGTGAGTTATACGTGAATGATCTATGCGCGCTCGTAATTAGTTTTTCGGCTCCCCGTGGCCTTACCCAAGCCGTTTTCATTCTTTCACATCGGGTGAGTGTGCGCCGCCGTGCCTCTGCTCTCCCACGCTCGTGTGCAGTCAGACTCCAGACGGCGCTGGCATCAGACACTAGGAAACTGAGAAACAGAGCGCGGGGGGATCATCCTCCTCCTCCTCCTCCTCCTTCTCCTTCTTTTCCTCCTCCTCCCCCCTTTCCTCCTCCTTCGCCACGGCCCCAGGGGCTCCCAGAAGGGATCGGCACCCGCGAACGGGTCTCCTGGGGCAGCCAAAATTATTGATCCGATAGCACCCGCGCGCCAGTGACACCGCCGCCATCGGCGAGGGGCCTCACCTGACATTGAGAATTTAATCAAGTACTTTTTAGGAGGAGGAGGAGGAGGAGGAGGAGGAGGCGGAGGAAGGGAGCTTGGCGGCAGGGACGGCCCTGCAAGGGAAGGGGAGGAAGAGGAAGGGGGATCACCGGGTGGGGAGCGGTCGTGGGGGTCGTCCTGGTGGCCGTGGCAGCTGTCGTTTGGGTCGTGGTGTTCGTTGCCGTGATAGTTGGTGTGGTGGCTGCTGGCGCTGCGGTAGTGGAGGTGCTCGTCGTGGTGGACTATTGGTGGGACCCCAGTCCGTCAATAAGGTCGCCGAAAAGAGAGTTTCCAGATATTGAGGGGGGGTCTAACGACATGGCCCTGTTAGGTTCGTCAACCTGCACCTGAGGAAACTGCTCGTGGGGAACAGGCCATCAAAAACGATCCCGACGACTCGAGTGTCCAGAAGGACTCGCCTTGCCCACATCAGGAGAATGTTTATTGCGTGGGCATGGGCCCGCCCCGCATCTTCCTCGCCGCAGTGGCCGGGCCAGGCGGGGGCGCGCGACAGAGCCAGAAGATCTGGCCCAGTTGCTTGGCGTTACCGGGGAATGATTCACACCAGCCAGTCGCGCCCAAACGCGAGCCTCTCGCCGCTGCTCAACTGTCTCTTCCCAGTGCATGCAGAGTAACGAGGGCCAATTTGTCGGCTCCGCCCACGCCTGCCAAATCTGGATTCTGAGCAGAGACATGTTTATTCACAGTGCCATCCGCGAACCAGATCCCGCATCTGGGCCCGACGGAATCTGCGATTCTGGGTGGAAGGACATTCGGGGTTTCTGGGTGCCCAGGGGCATACCACAAGGCAGTCCGTTGAATGTGGTCCTGTTCGCCATGATCCTACATCGCGTTCTGCTTGGGGCGCCATGGTTCCAGCGCTCGCGCGAGTTTGTTACTAAGCCGCTCGAGGCGTAAAGTTCTTATGCCCCAGTGCCTTACTTTGCTTTGGGGCATAAGAACTGATCTGGCTGCTGATGTTCCCTCCCTCCCCACCTCCCCTTCCGCCGCAGCCGGACTTGACGCAGCAGCGCGTTCGGTCCCAGCCCTGGCTGCGGCGACGCAAGGGGCAGGACGACGACGATAAGGTTCTCACGAATGAGAAGATGGTTTTCGCCGTCCGTATGCGAATTTTGCTAGCCACTCTGGAAACTTTGAAAGCTGAGCAGGCCTTAGCGGCCATGGAGCCCCGAGGGTCCCGTGTCAGGAATCCTGGGCCCAGGCCACCCGCGCCTGTTGTTTGCAAATAATGTTCCACTTTGCACACGCTGTCTGAAACTAAGCCGTCTTGTTTGAAGTGTAGGAACTCGGCAACCAAAGCTAGGCGAAAGGTTTGGTTGGATACCCCATGCTTCGACCTGAGGGCTATCGATGGCGTTGGTTTCAGGCCGCCCCCCCGTTGCAGGGTGCACATCTGTGGGGGGTGGGCTGATGAGACTCACAATTTACAGTTCCACGCTGGGCCGGGGATCTGGTTCTGTAGCACCTGCGGAAGCTTTGCGGCCCAGCAGTTGGCCCAGCTTGGGAAGAGGTGTGTTGGCAGACCAGAGGGTAATCGTAGAGATTATTTAAAGAATATTGAACGAGGGATCTGGCCTAAAGCTTACAGCAAAGCTGATCAGGCCAGAAGAGCGGCTCGTTCTATTTATGGAACACGTAACCGACACAATCGCAATATCCGCAACTCCGTAACTCCTCCTCCTCCTCCTCCTCCTCCTCCTCCTCCTCCCCCACGTTCTCCTGCTCGTCCCCTGCTTTTCTTGTTGTTCCTCTTCCTGCTCGTCGTCGTAATCTTCCTCCTCTTCCTTCTTCTGGTCCTCCTCTTTTTTCTCCTCGTTGTCCCGGTTGTTTCCCTTAGGGAGCCGGTTATCCCGTTGGGCCTCTTGGAGGGCACTTGCAGCAGCCTCTGGGCAGTCTCGGGGCCTCCTGGAGGCATGCTTGAGGAAATCCGGAGCCAACTTGGACAAGATTGCGCTAACTTGGAGGCAATCTTCAGGCGCCTAGGAATATCTTGGAAACATCTTGGCCTGACAGCCTCCCAATGCTGCCGCCCAGTGCGCTAACCTGCTTCAACAGACTGCTGCGTTCCAAGATTTCTATTTTGAGCGACGAGAGGCTTCGACATTAGCCTTGCATCATCACAACCCGACCACTCGCTTCACGGGGCTGTCTAGAAACGCTTTTGTGTGCGCTTCTGGGGCATTCTTGGATCCTTGATGGGCCGCTCTAATGGGCGACATTGGACACTCATATAGGCCTCGAAAGCACATCGGAAGCGAAAAGGAGAGACGCAACCACAATTGAAGATGGGTAAGTCTCTGGAAGAGGTTGGGTTCTCGGGGCCACTTGGACTTGGGGCCGTCGTGGGGCGGTCTTCTCGGGGCCTGATGGAGGCATGCCGGAGGCCATCTGTGAGGTCTTTTGGGCTATCTAGGGTCATCTTGGAACCATAATGTGCCAAACCGTCCCGACCCAAGTGAGGGGTAGGGGGATGGGTAAACCCATCCCTGGAGCGGAAGAACGGGTTCGAAGCATTATCTCTCTAAACCGATTGCGTCCAGTGGGCTAGTGGGATTGTTTCTGAGAGTTTCAGCTATTTCGGTATCGATGCAGATAGCTATGCCCGTGATGACGACGACGATGAGCATCCCAATGTTTTCAATGACCCTGTAGTCTTGGCTCCACCAGTTTTGACGTACGCCAGTAAAGCCCTACGAAGTCGAAGGTGCACGGCGATTGCTTCGCAGGGCGCACGTTGCCGCTGCTGCATTGCTGGAGATGTGGCCGAGCTCGCTGTTGCATTTCTTGCTCGTCGAGCTTGGCGTCGCCTACGCGTTCTATTTCAGCATGGTGAACTTGATCACCACGATTGCAACTCAGGTCGCGCTGAGCTACAAGCAAGTCGACTCATATCCCCCGGAGTTCTTGCACGGCAGTGCGGCAGCAATGGCCGAGTGCAACGCGGTCGGACGACACCGTCTCCCTTGCCAACATCGGCCTCTTGGGAGTGCTTCTCGGAGCAGCGGTCGGAGGTCTGCTCGCTCGGTTTTGTTGTCCTCGTCGTGTTGCTGCCCCTCGTCAAGGAGGGTACGGTCGCATTGAACAGTGATGGCGGGGGCCGTGGAGGCTCTGCCAGGTGGCTATGCAATCTACTGGTACGAAGGGGACGATTATGGTCATGAACGGATTTTGCTGAGGGAAGTTAAGTCACTGGATGACAGGCGTATCTGGGTTGGGGCCTCGCCTGACTTCGATGTCTATGCGGAGGAGTGGGACGCCACGGGAGATCGCGGGCCCATCAGAGTGGAGCTGTTGAAGGGTCGCACTGCGCCAAGGAGTTTCCCCAGGCCCATCTATCGTTTCGATCAGGAGGTTCCCTGGGACAAGTTCACGGAGCTTCGGGCCGAGGCGTCGCAGATCATCGTCGACGAAGGGCTCGAGGAGATCGCTCACGCGAGAGTGCAAGATGACACGTTCGCGATCAGGAACTTCCGTCGGCCCCTCCTTGGATCACGAGGACCTGCTCCTCCTCTGCCGCCGCATGCAGATGGGCAGGCTGACCCTGCTGATGCTCTTGGGAGTGACGGGGTCTGGGTCGTGTCGGAGCCCGTCTTCGACGGGGGTCAGGAGGTTGCGAGGATCGGCGCTCAGGTCGCCAAGGGGTCCGTGGCGAGCAGGCTGGGGAACCGCGGGTTCGCCAAGTTTGGCTCGGTCGTCGCGGCGCTCGAGCGGATCAAGGCGGGGGAGCTCGACGGCTACTTCGCGGGCCGCAAGAACCTGCTCCTGGTGGGCCTGGGAGGCGCTCACACGCCCGAGGAGCGAGAGGGAGCCCTTGGCTCGCCCACAGGCCTCCAGGCCCTTCGTGGGGCTCTTGCAGCCCCACAGCTCCCTGGAACGGGTGAGGGGCCTGACGAGAAGACGGACGAGGACGTTCGCACGCTGTCGGTGAAGTTCAACGCCTTCAACCGCAGGGAGCGCGTCTGGGTGGACTCGGTCAAGGAGATGGTCGAGGACGCCTTCTCGGACTGGCCTTTGGATGGTCCTCGCACGTTCTTGTGGTTGATGATGTCTTTTGCTCAGCTCGCGATGGTGCCCGCGTTCTGGCTGGAGCGCCACCTCCAGACGGCGGGTTGGAGCGAGAACGATCGCTCTATTCATGAGATGCGGGTGATGGCGGAGGTTTTCGAGCTGGCTATCTCTTACGATCAGCTTAATGTGGCTTCGCTCGCGGCCTTCGAGAGGTTGGGGCGGAGATGGCGAGCTATACTTGAGGCTCATGGTAAGAACCCCATGAACCCGAACTACGAGATTGCTGATAAGTTCTCGGGCTACAATCGCCGCGCTCAGCTTGCGGCGCCGGCGCTTCGCACCTACGTGGCCAAGGAGGTGCGAGAGGGGGCGGAGATCGACAAGCAGACTACCACGGCCAAGGCTCTGAGGGACGAGGCCAAGGTCGCCCTCAAGCGCGGGAAATCCGCTGGGAAGGGCAAGGACAAGGGGGATAGCAAGGATGAGTGAGGCCTCCTTCCTTGCCAGCAAGACCATTGATAGTGCGCGCCGCAGTCGCCGCGCGGCATGCACGCTGACAGGCGAGAGTGATGCGCAGGAGGCACGACAGGTGCCGCTGTTTCCGCTCGAGTTTTGTGACCGCTCAGCTCCTCCGTCGACGCGTCTCTCGAGAAGGTGCAGACGGAGAGCGAGCCTCAGGAGCCATCAGTCACGGGAGTTCGGGGAGGTTCTGACGGGCCTCAATTGGCTATATTCCCGAGCTGCGAGCCCTCTCGTTCGCCAAGAAGTGGCGGGCGAGATTCATGATTTTGTCGCGGGACGAGTTGCCCAACAGCCGCCTGCGCCGCCTTTTTTGGATAAGGAGGGGGCCGTGCGCGAGCTCCTCCAGAGCAAGTGTGGTTATGACCACACAGCTTCCACGGTCGTCGAGTTCGATCGAGCCCTTGTCTCTCTGCCCGAAGGAGTCCAGGACAGGAGGTTACTTCAGGACTTGGTTTCTCGGGAGGACAGGGAGGCGGTGGTGAACTTTAGGGAGAGCATGATGAGAGATGTGAAGGAAGTGATGCAAATGAGAGACTACGGCGAGTCTATTAACCCGTATTTTGACCAGAAGCTTCGCACTCGGCGGCACGAGTACGCACGCTTTCTGAAGATGTTGCACAGGCGTGGTCTCATCAGGTGGTCGACTACGCCCAAAGAGATTGCGACCCCGTTCTTTGTCCGAAAAAAGGATGGAAGACAGCGACTTATCATCGATGCAAGACGTACTAATCAGCTTTTCCGAGATCCTCCTAGTACTCTACTGGCCACGCCCGAGAGTTTCGCTCGCCTGGAAGTTGAGGGAGGCGTTGAGCTTTTTGAGGCGTCTCTTGACGTGGACAATTGCTTTCGCAGAATCGGTATAGACAGCGAATTGGGCGATTATTTCTGCTTGCCCCCCGTCCGCGCACGAGAGCTAGGTCTGGCACATGTTCGGGGACGGGAGGTTCCTGGAGACGGGCTTGCGTGGGCCGCCATGGCTGTGCCCCCCATGGGCTTCTCTTGGTCGGTCTTCTGGGCCCAGCGTATCAATGCTCGCCTGGTTCGGGAGGCTTCAGGAATGGAAGGCTCTGTGGCGGTGGAGGACAGGGGGGGCGGGCTCATCATAAGTAAGGGCTCCGCGCCCGTCTTTTACGTGCATGTGGACAACGTGGGGGTCTTGGGGGCAGACAATATTGAGGTCCAGAAGTCGCTTGATAACATCAAAAACGTTCTTAACTCCAACAAAATGCAGTGTCACGAAGTCCAGGAGGCAGGCCAGGTTCGGGACGCTCTTGGGATCGAGTTCAACGGCGAACTAAAGTGTTTCAGGCCCGCTGGGAAGCGATACTGGAAGATTCGTTGGTCTCTGGAGGCTTTCTTGAAGGCGCCCAAGGTAACGGGAAAAGCCCTCGAGGTTCTGCTGGGCCACTGCACCTGCCTCGCTATGCTCCAGCGCCCTCTTCTCTCCTGCTTCGCCTCGGTCTACAAGTCCGCTCGGCGGTGCCGTCACTCGTGGGCTCCATTGTGGCCAACAGCACGTGAGGAGCTCGAGGCTTTCTTCTGCCTCATGCCCCTTATTCGCTCAGACTGGCCCCGCGGTTGGCTTGGAGAAGTGTTGACGTATGACTCCTGCCCTGAGGGCGCTGGAGCTTGCGTTGCTACTGGGTCTCCTGCCTGGGCGGCCGCTCAAGGGGGAGTCCAGGAGAGAGCCAGATTTGTTCGTCGGGATGCTGCGCAGGCTCGCGGGCATGCGCTTTCTTGCCTCGACCCTGATGACCCCCTGGTGTTTGTGACGCCGCCGCCGTCGTTTGAGGACGTGTCGGAGCTTTGGGGGCAAGATTTGTTGTTTCCTGAGGTTCCGCTCGAGGGGCTTGTGGGAAAGGACTGGGAAGTGCTATTCTGCCATTCTTGGAGAAGAAAGATGACTGTGCATGAGGGGGAAGCCAGAGCTGGAGTCCTTGGGATCGCAAATGTGGTTCTGGAACCTGGGGTACATAGCTGTCGTCTGCTGGCCCTTGGGGACAACCTCGGTGTCACGCTCAGCTTTGCAAGATCCAGGGCCCGCGCCTTCCCTCTGCTGATACAGGTACGACGGGCGGCGGCGCTGGCGCTGTCGCGAAACCTCTCAGTGGGGTTCAGGTGGATCCCGAGTGAGTTCAACAACTCCGACCAACCTTCCAGGGGCCCCAGGCTTCAGCGGGGGAACACGGTCGAGTTGAGCGTCACTCCTGATATACGCCGTCTCGCTCGAGAACGGCAAAGCTCTGTAGCCGTTTTGGCCAAGCATGAAGACCCGCCATGCTCTGCTTCTTTACATGATTGGGCTCTACATGTCCTTGGTGGGGAAGGCCAAGAGAGCAGCTCCGACGGAGGAGAGGGAAGTTCGCGTGCTTCTTCGTCGTACGGACCCGCTGCCTCTAGAGAAGAGGTGGCCGGCTACTTTACAGCAGCGACGCGATCGCCTCCCCTTGCCCGTGCTGCTGGAGGAAGCGGAGAGGGATGCCAACCGTCTGGAAGCTTCGGACGGCACGACCTCGGAGGAGGACGGCAACCCGCTTGTGCAGGATCGCGTGCTGAGGCGGAAGATCCACCATGCGAAAATGGCAGAAGAGCCAGGTATGAAGCACGTTTCGGTGCTAGAACGAAGCTCGGTAGGAGAACGAACCTGGGCGCAATATCGAAAGCTATATCGAGGCCTGGTGGACTACGTCGACGAGTGCAAGCTGAACGCCGACAAAGTGCAGGACTTCGACGTGGCCATTGTCTCCTTCATGACCCACATGTACATGCTGGGCTACGACGCGGGCATCGGCCAGAAGTTGATCGCAGCCGTGGTGTTCTTTCAACCTCGTTTCGGCAAGCTAGGCGACCTTTCTCATCCGCGAGCCTGGCGGGCTGCCAGGGGCTGGGCCAAATTGGACCCGCCACGCAGTCGGCAGCCCTTGACCCTGCCGACGGTTGCAGGGTTGGCCGCGTTGCTGGCCTACGAAGGCCACCTGGACATGGCCATCTGGACGACCGTCGCTTTCTGCACCTACCTGCGTCCAGGCTCTATGATGCAGCTCACCAGGGGCTCGCTGGCCCCACCTACCATGAAGGTCGACACCATGTGGCGTGTGCTGGCGCACAGGCCAGACCTCCACCAGGTCTCGAAGGTGGGGGCTCAGGACGACACCATCTTGTGGGACACTCAGGGTTTTGAATGGATGGGCAAAGTTCTTCAGATTCTAGCCGTCGGTAAACGGAATGAGTGCTTGTGGCATTTTACCTATCCAGAGTTAGTACGTGAAATTCGTAAGCAAGGCCGACGGCTCGGCCAAGACATTGTACCCTACCAGTTGCGCCATGCGGGCGCCTCCTGGGATATATATACATATAAAAAGCATCGCAACCTGTACGAAGTGCAACGTCGTGGTGGTTGGATGTCTACCAAAAGTATGCAGCGCTATGAGAAGTCAAGCATGATGATGAAAGACTACGCCCTGCTTCCCCTGGCGCTGCGCTGCTGGCTCGAGGAGCAGGTACACGCGCTCAAGGACTCGATCCTCAGAGGCCAAGCGGTGCATCCGCCGCCGCCGCTTGTTTTCAGTGCCCGTGGCAAGCGTGTAGCTACTCCTCCCAACACAGCATAGTAGGTGACACACCATGTTATGGGTGATATGGGTGAGTGTGCGCCGCCGTGCCTCTGCTCTCCCACGCTCGTGTGCAGTCAGACTCCAGACGGCGCTGGCATCAGACACTAGGAAACTGAGAAACAGAGCGCGGGGGGATCATGTGAGTTATACGTGAATGATCTATGCGCGCTCGTAATTAGTTTTTCGGCTCCCCGTGGCCTTACCCAAGCCGTTTTCATTCTTTCACATCGGGTGAGTGTGCGCCGCCGTGCCTCTGCTCTCCCACGCTCGTGTGCAGTCAGACTCCAGACGGCGCTGGCATCAGACACTAGGAAACTGAGAAACAGAGCGCGGGGGGATCATCCTCCTCCTCCTCCTCCTTCTCCTTCTTTTCCTCCTCCTCCCCCCTTTCCTCCTCCTTCGCCACGGCCCCAGGGGCTCCCAGAAGGGATCGACACCCGCGAACGGGTCTCCTGGGGCAGCCAAAATTATTGATCCGATAGCACCCGCGCGCCAGTGACACCGCCGCCATCGGCGAGGGGCCTCACCTGACATTGAGAATTTAATCAAGTACTTTTTAGGAGGAGGAGGAGGAGGAGGAGGAGGAGGAGGAGGCGGAGGAAGGGAGCTTGGCGGCAGGGACGGCCCTGCAAGGGAAGGGGAGGAAGAGGAAGGGGGATCACCGGGTGGGGAGCGGTCGTGGGGGTCGTCCTGGTGGCCGTGGCAGCTGTCGTTTGGGTCGTGGTGTTCGTTGCCGTGATAGTTGGTGTGGTGGCTGCTGGCGCTGCGGTAGTGGAGGTGCTCGTCGTGGTGGACTATTGGTGGGACCCCAGTCCGTCAATAAGGTCGCCGAAAAGAGAGTTTCCAGATATTGAGGGGGGGTCTAACGACATGGCCCTGTTAGGTTCGTCAACCTGCACCTGAGGAAACTGCTCGTGGGGAACAGGCCATCAAAAACGATCCCGACGACTCGAGTGTCCAGAAGGACTCGCCTTGCCCACATCAGGAGAATGTTTATTGCGTGGGCATGGGCCCGCCCCGCATCTTCCTCGCCGCAGTGGCCGGGCCAGGCGGGGGCGCGCGACAGAGCCAGAAAATCTGGCCCAGTTGCTTGGCGTTACCGGGGAATGATTCACACCAGCCAGTCGCGCCCAGACGCGAGCCTCTCGCCGCTGCTCAACTGTCTCTTCCCAGTGCATGCAGAGTAACGAGGGCCAATTTGTCGGCTCCGCCCACGCCTGCCAAATCTGGATTCTGAGCAGAGACATGTTTATTCACAGTGCCATCCGCGAACCAGATCCCGCATCTGGGCCCGACGGAATCTGCGATTCTGGGTGGAAGGACATTCGGGGTTTCTGGGTGCCCAGGGGCATACCACAAGGCAGTCCGTTGAATGTGGTCCTGTTCGCCATGATCCTACATCGCGTTCTGCTTGGGGCGCCATGGTTCCAGCGCTCGCGCGAGTTTGTTACTAAGCCGCTCGAGGCGTAAAGTTCTTATGCCCCAGTGCCTTACTTTGCTTTGGGGCATAAGAACTGATCTGGCTGCTGATGTTCCCTCCCTCCCCACCTCCCCTTCCGCCGCAGCCGGACTTGACGCAGCAGCGCGTTCGGTCCCAGCCCTGGCTGCGGCGACGCAAGGGGCAGGACGACGACGATAAGGTTCTCACGAATGAGAAGATGGTTTTCGCCGTCCGTATGCGAATTTTGCTAGCCACTCTGGAAACTTTGAAAGCTGAGCAGGCCTTAGCGGCCATGGAGCCCCGAGGGTCCCGTGTCAGGAATCCTGGGCCCAGGCCACCCGCGCCTGTTGTTTGCAAATAATGTTCCACTTTGCACACGCTGTCTGAAAATAAGCCGTCTTGTTTGAAGTGTAGGAGCTCGGCAACCAAAGCTAGGCGAAAGGTTTGGTTGGATACCCCATGCTTCGACCTGAGGGCTATCGATGGCGTTGGTTTCAGGCCGCCCCCCCGTTGCAGGGTGCACATCTGTGGGGGGTGGGCTGATGAGACTCACAATTTACAGTTCCACGCTGGGCCGGGGATCTGGTTCTGTAGCACCTGCGGAAGCTTTGCGGCCCAGCAGTTGGCCCAGCTTGGGAAGAGGTGTGTTGGCAGACCAGAGGGTAATCGTAGAGATTATTTAAAGAATATTGAACGAGGGATCTGGCCTAAAGCTTACAGCAAAGCTGATCAGGCCAGAAGAGCGGCTCGTTCTATTTATGGAACACGTAACCGACACAATCGCAATATCCGCAACTCCGTAACTCCTCCTCCTCCTCCTCCTCCTCCTCCTCCTCCTCCTCCCCCACGTTCTCCTGCTCGTCCCCTGCTTTTCTTGTTGTTCCTCTTCCTGCTCGTCGTCGTAATCTTCCTCCTCTTCCTTCTTCTGGTCCTCCTCTTTTTTCTCCTCGTTGTCCCGGTTGTTTCCCTTAGGGAGCCGGTTATCCCGTTGGGCCTCTTGGAGGGCACTTGCAGCAGCCTCTGGGCAGTCTCGGGGCCTCCTGGAGGCATGCTTGAGGAAATCCGGAGCCAACTTGGACAAGATTGCGCTAACTTGGAGGCAATCTTCAGGCGCCTAGGAATATCTTGGAAACATCTTGGCCTGACAGCCTCCCAATGCTGCCGCCCAGTGCGCTAACCTGCTTCAACAGACTGCTGCGTTCCAAGATTTCTATTTTGAGCGACGAGAGGCTTCGACATTAGCCTTGCATCATCACAACCCGACCACTCGCTTCACGGGGCTGTCTAGAAACGCTTTTGTGCGCGCTTCTGGGGCATTCTTGGATCCTTGATGGGCCGCTCTAATGGGCGACATTGGACACTCATATAGGCCTCGAAAGCACATCGGAAGCGAAAAGGAGAGACGCAACCACAATTGAAGATGGGTAAGTCTCTGGAAGAGGTTGGGTTCTCGGGGCCACTTGGACTTGGGGCCGTCGTGGGGCGGTCTTCTCGGGGCCTGATGGAGGCATGCCGGAGGCCATCTGTGAGGTCTTTTGGGCTATCTAGGGTCATCTTGGAGCCATAATGTGCCAAACCGTCCCGACCCAAGTGAGGGATAGGGGGATGGGTAAACCCATCCCTGGAGCGGAAGAACGGGTTCGAAGCATTATCTCTCTAAACCGATTGCGTCCAGTGGGCTAGTGGGATTGTTTCTGAGAGTTTCAGCTATTTCGGTATCGATGCAGATAGCTATGCCCGTGATGACGACGACGATGAGCATCCCAATGTTTTCAATGACCCTGTAGTCTTGGCTCCACCAGTTTTGACGTACGCCAGTAAAGCCCTACGAAGTCGAAGGTGCACGGCGATTGCTTCGCAGGGCGCACGTTGCCGCTGCTGCATTGCTGGAGATGTGGCCGAGCTCACTGTTGCATTTCTTGCTCGTCGAGCTTCGCGTCGCCTACGCGTTCTATTTCAGCATGATGAACTTGATCACCACGATTGCAACTCAGGTCGCGCTGAGCTACAAGCAAGTCGACTCATATCCCCCGGAGTTCTTGCACGGCAGTGCGGCAGCAATGGCCGAGTGCAACGCGGTTGGGGTGCACCAGGCAGTTCACTCGTTGAACCTTGCATTCACTGCGTCGAGCAACTGCATCGACTTCTCACAACATCCTTCTAACTACTTCGGCTACGGCTCCCTCACCACCCAGGCAATTACCGCATTCCTCTGTTTTTCAGCACTTTTTTTGTATCTACGCGACGGCGGGAGCTGGAGCTTCTCAAGTGGTGCATATGTGTCTTTTACCTACCACTTGGAGCAACACTTGATGTACAAGATAGCGGGCAAGCTTGTTGTGTGGTGGGTGATTGTAGGATTTGTTTCGATGGCATATATGTTCCATGCTCACTTGGTTGGAGGATCCACCGGCATGGCCTTTGTGCGGCAGTATTGGCTGCCTTCTTTGGGCCTCCTTTTCAGTGCTCATTCCCTCACGGTCCAGGAGCCAATCCTCTTCTGCCATGACAGTGACAGGTTCAAGGAGCTGACCTTCCACAGGCCATGGTATACGGTTCTGTTCCAATCCAACGATGCTTTCGCAGTGAAGATCCAGAACGCGATGCTGATGGACTTACGGTCACAGGAGCGGCCCCCGCCTGAATTGTCGAACTTGATGCCAGATGCAGACCCAGATCAGATCTTAGGCTTGTTGGCAAACGATGAGGGACAGTTGGGAGGATACGAGCAGATCTTTTCGGAGTGACGGAAGGATCTTCTTCCTAGCGGCGCATTGGACGTATCTAGCGTCGCCGGCATATCCGTGCCGTGTTTTACACGCAGATTTGTATGACCGCATATTTTCTGGTAAGCCATCACGGTTTATTGTCTGCGCTGGCACTATGTTCGTTCAGAAGCAGTGGGCATGACCATGTTGGGTCCAGCATTTGTTCCATGTGCTTGGCAAACAAAGCAGCGTTACAGTATACGCGAGATAGAGTCATGCGTACGATTGTGGGTATATGTTTAGATACGCGAATGCCCTCCGACCCATCCCGCCACCGTGCCTTGGCTACGGGCCGAGACTTCGAGTGCATGCGCAGTACGGCAACGACAGGCAGGAGTCAACCATGACGGCCTTCGCGGATCTTTCGCGCTGGGAGCTTTTTGGAGGCCTCTTGTCGCCTTCTGTGTGAGGGTTTGGAGGCCAGAAGTAGCCAAGCGCTTCCCGTTACTTGTTTCACGACCTGGGGGGATCAGGTCGTCCAGTCGCTTCATGGTCTCGGGTAACAAGAGGACTGCCTCGGAGTTCATCGGGACCACATCTCTACTGGAATATGTTCGACAGTCTTGCGGCGGATTGGTGAGCTTCTCAAGGAGCCTCTGGGGGGTCGTCTTGGAGACACCTTTGCGGTCTTTTGAAGCCTCTTGGGACCATTTGGGGGACTTCGCGGACATGTCTTGGGTCTGTGGGCGGCATCTTTGGGCCTTTTGCGGTCTTCCTGTCGGCGGTCTCTGGGGTCCTCTTTGGGCTCGAGATGTCGGTTCGGGTTGCCCTCTTTGGGCCCTCTTCGAGTTGTCGAGCCGTCTGCGATGTTTCTTGGACCGTCTTGGCTTTGGGCCTCTTCTGGCATCCTTTCGGGCCGTCAAGGGGCGATCTTGGTGGCCTCTTGGGCAGTCTTTGGCGTCGCACAGGCCCAATATGGGAACCTTGCTTCGGATGGGCCTCTCGGGCCTCAAGATGCCCTCAAGAGGCCCAGAGGGCTCCCAGTTTCCAGATGCCCCAAGAGGGGACGAAGAGGAGTCCGAAGAGGGCCCAACAATGCGAACATCACCGACTCGGCTAGGTTTTAAATAGTTGTAGCGTTCTGGCCTTTTCAGGCTTCCGACGCTCCATGGCGGCCCAAGAGGCTCCGAAGACGTCCCTCAAACACGGGATCCAGGCCGCCCACCGAAATTCGGCCCGACTTCTTCTCGCTGGAATCTGCCCACGAAATCGGCCCAGTATTTTCGCCAGAACTTGGAGCCGCGAACGCGAACCCAGCCGCCTACCGAAATCGACGCTGTATTTTCGCGCATTCCACCGATAGTTGCTAAGACCCTTTCAATGCAAACGCTGATTGGGGAACAATCTCCTGATCACAATTTTTCTGAGGGCCGCGCAGATCTCTTGGGTTGGCGCTGAGCCCCCGTGCCAGGGGAGGGGGCTCCATTGACGACGCTGAGCCCCCGTGCTAGGGGAGGGGGCTCCACCGACCCAAGAAGTCCCCGCGTGGCCCCATAGGGAGCTCCACCGAAGGCCCCAGTGGCATGGTTCGCATGCCGCCCCCCGTCTATTCTGGCACGCCCCTCACACGTTTCGTGGCCCCATTGGAGCTCCACCGAAGGCCCCCGCGGCAGCGCCCGCGTGGCGGGGCCCGTTGCGGAGCGCCCTTCGCGCGCTTCTTGCCCATAGGGAGCTCCACCGAGGGCAGTTCTCACAACGGCAGTCTTCACAACTGCATGTGGTTGGGTCATTCACCAGGATCATATTTTGCTGTACTGACGTTGCGTCGCCCGTGTAGACGGAGTCGGAGGAGGGCCAGTTGAGACAACAGCCGCCCTCCCGCCCGGCCCAATTCCGTTCGAAATCTCTTCCTGGACCCTTCCTGGGTCCATCCTGTCCGATTTTCGAGGCGGATCCAGCTATGGCGAGGAGAAGCCACCAGGAGGTCCACAAAGAACGACGAATGGCCGCCGTTGTCTCGACTGGCTCTCCTACCATGATTACCCCGGCGAGGGACCCAGGCCTTTTTAGCACCTTCGTGTGGTCTTGGTGATGACCGTCTGTGGACGACGGCCTGGTGAGGCATGTGTCGAAATGGAATTGGGAAACGCATGCGACTTTCCAACTTGGGCCTTGTGTGGAGCTCCCCTGGGTGCGCGACACGTGTAAGAGTACGCCGATATTCGCGGGGAAGCCATTGATATCTTCCCACTGGGTCGGGGCTTGCGTGAGAGGTGTGCCGAAACGGGCCGCAATGCGCATGCAAATTCTCCACTGTGGCCGTAGGTGGAGCTACCTAGGGGGAGGGCGCGGTACTCATGAGAGCTGTGCCCAAATGGGCGGCGCCGCCATGCGAACCTTCCCACTGGAGCTGCAGGTGGAGCTCCCCGGGGCGCCACGATCCTTGGGCGGTGCCGCCATGCGGACCTTCCACTGGAGTCGCAGGTGGAGCTCCATATGGGACCACGAAGCGTACGAAATCGACGGCGCCACCATGACCCTCCCTCTGAGGCCGTATGTAGAGGCTCCTAAGGAGCATGATTCGTGAGGGGTGCGCTGGAATGGGCGGTGGCGCCAAGCGGACCCTCCACAGGGGCCGCAGGTGGAGCTCCTTATCCGGCTGCGATTTCGTGAGAGGTGCGTCGAAATAGGCGCTGGCACTGGGATCGTAGAAGAAGCTCCTTCTGGGGCTACGTACCGTGTGAGGGGTGTGCCGTAATGGGCGAGGGGACCCTACGCAGCGGGTCCCACTGAGACCGTGAGTGGAGCTCTCTATTGTGCCAGCATGAGAGGGGTGTGCCGAAATGGACATGCGGAGAGCAGAGGCAGGGGAAGAGCGGGAGGATGAGGAGGATGATGATGATGAGGAGGAGGAGGAACGAAGGAGTGACGTTGGGCGCTGCGGGTCCAAAACGAGGACCCAACTCAATACAGAAGGACTTTTCCTCCCCCTCCCCCAAACGCCTATTCATCGCCTACATGGGGAACCTGCGGTTTCGCTATCGAGAGTAACCTGGAGAGGCAATTCAGAAAGCCCCCCCTCTCCAGCGAAAGTATAACGTTCCAGCACCCTGGAAGCGTTACCCTGGCACCTCGCAACCTGCTTTGAACGCAGACGAGTCTGCCCGCCGAACCACGAAAACCGCCTGAAGCATTCTCGCAATCTGGCCTCTGTGTGGTTCTGAAACAAGCGCCTCGCCTGAGACATCCTCAGAAACTGATCTGGACGCAGACAAGTCTGCTGTGGGGGAGTTCTATGGGGGAGTCCTATGGGGGAGTCCTATGGGGGAGTCCTATTGGGGGAGTCCTACGGGGGAGACCTATGGGGGACTCCTATGGGGGAGCCCTGGGGGGAGGTCCTATCAGGGAGTCCTATGGGGAAGTCCTATCAGAGAGTCCTATACCGCCCGAGCCAAGGCGCGGGAATTATTTATTTTCCTTTCTCTTGCGTGGTGCTAAAGATACCCTTCCGCGAAAACCGCCCCCAAGAATTATTTAATCGCTTCGCTCATGCCGCCGGCCCTGGAGCCCTCTTTAGGGCCTCTTGGGGGCCTCTTGGGGACCTCTTGGGAGTCTCTTGGGGCTCCTTGGCGGCGTTTTGGAGGCCCCCAGGGCCTCTTGGGGGGCTCTTGGGGGTAGTCGATTGCGGCTCCCCCCTCGGAGGCCACGATCCTCGTGAGGGGTGTCGAAAAATACCCTCCCCTGGAGTGGTCTGGTGGCTTCTCCCGGGCTTCTCTCGGGACCTTGCCGGGGTACTTTTCGTCCGGGGGCCCCCAGGGGCCGCTCCGCGCGCGCGAACTAGAAATATTGTTAACAAGTTACCGGAGATCTTAGCACGCCTTTGGCCCGTTGGGCCGGCGAATTTAATTACGGTGCGGTGCTAACGAGAACCCCGGGGGGGTCTTAATTGCTTACTGCGGTTAGATCGCCGATCTTCTCCCGAATCAGAGTTTGCCTCTGTGGGGTCCCAGCGGATTCAGAAGGTTAGGTGAGGTGCGCCGCCGATTTCCGCGGGTGCCCAGATGCCCGGGTGGTGCGCCGCCGATTTCCGCGGGTGCCCGGGTGCCCGGTAGCCCTACAGCACTACAGCCTTATAGTCTTATAGCCCTACAGCCCTATAGCACCACAGCCCTATAGCAATGCAGGCCTAAGAGCGTTATAGCCCTACAACCCTATAGCTATATGGCCCGATAGTCCTATAGCCCTATAGCTTTATAGCCTTATAGCCCGATAGCCTTATAGCCCTATAGCCCCATATCCCCATAGCCTTACAGCCCTATAGCCCTAAAACATTATGATTGTTTTTCTTCTCCGGTCTCATTGACGATCTATCGCCGATTCAAGCTCGATTTTCCCCACCTGAACTGGTCCCTCCCTATCGTTGTCGCTCCCCACTGCCTGTTCTTACCCAGCGGGCCAGGTCCCTCCAGGACATCTTCTGGGCCCAGAGCGAGACCGTCAGGGTGGAGCTCGAGTCTACCTGGACCGGCGCGCGCGCGCGCCCGGGCGCGGGGGGAGGAGGAGGAGTAGGAGGGGTTTGGATGAGGAGGAGCAGCAAGAGGAGGATGATGAGGAGGAGGAGGATGAGGAGGAGCAGGAGGAGGATGAGGAGGAGGAGGAAGAAAAAGAGAAGGAGGAAGAGGAGGAGGAGGATACCGAGGAGCACGAGAGGGAGGAGGAGGAGGTGAAAGAGGGGGAGGATTGAGGGGGATGCAGGAGGGGCAGGAGGAGGACCAGTGTAGACCTTACACGCATGAACTATGTTACAGTAAACCCTCCTTCCAAGTTCCTTCGTAGGTCCCTGAACTAATGATGTTCGTTGAGGGACGCGCCCCATCGAACGGCAACGGTCTGATACTTCGCAATCGTGCCACACATCATTCCTGGGATTCAGCGCCGCGAATCAACGTTCCTATTGCGTCCTGGCAATCCTCAATCGTACCAGACCGCCGTCCCTGGGACTTCAACACCGCGAAGCATCGTGACCGCTGGTTGCGCCC